AAAAGCACTAATAAGAGAGATTCTCCAAGACAGCAATGTGTCTTAAATAGTTTCAGAAGAGACCAGATAATAAGAGTTATACCAATTATATATATATGTGACTCTGGAGCACAAAACCAGTCATAAGCATCACGGGTATATTTGTAACAATAGCCAACAATACATTTTATGGGTCAAAATGATCGATTTTTCTTTTATGCCAAAAATCATTAGGATATTAAGTAAAGATCATGTTCCATGAAGATATTTTGTAAATTTCCTACCATAAATACATCAAAACTTAATTTTTGATTAGTAATATGAATTGCTAAGGACTTCATTTGGACAACTTTAAAGGCGATTTTCTCAATATTTTGATTTTTTTGCACCCTCAGATTCCAGATTTTCAAATAGTTGTATCTCGACCAAATATTGTCCTATCCTAACAAACCATACATCAATGGAAAGCTTATTTATTCAGCTTTCAGTTGTTGTATACATCTCAATTTAAAATAATTGACCCTTATGACTGGTTTTGTGGTCCAGGGTCACACACACACACACACATTAATTTGTAATATATAATTGTTAGAAAAAAAATCTATTTTATTTGTAAATTATATATATTACATTATATATGTGTATGGTTTTTACATATAAAACGAGCAAGTTAAACGAGCAATTTAATTATTGTAATTTTAAAAAATTGTAATTTATCAGCTAAATTAACTAGGCCTATTTAATTTTACACTAGTTTTATTTTATTAACTATTTAATTTTACACAATCAAATTCCAAGACCAAATGACATAAAACACACACACACGCAATATTTACTATACAATTTTTACTTATTTTACTTATTATATATATAACATATATATATATATGTGTATAGTATACATTACTGTAGGGTATCAGAGGGAATTTAACATTCGATCAGATTCATGTTAAAACAACCCAAAGAGCCAAATTACACAAAGAGGCCCAGGACAACAAGACAATGTCATAAATCTGTCCACGATACCTTAGCGCCAGCTTGCAACATTAAAACAAAAGAACACTTATTGATAATCCCAACTCAGGAAGGAGATTGTCAATTTTGGGGCAAGAAACCCAAGATTAATGATTGAAGAGACAACATCATCACCATCACATAAGGGAAACCATTAGTAGAGACTTCGTTGGGTGGTTTCCCCCACCCAGGACAAAGACCAGGCTCCTTCTAGACCTTTTGTTCCTCACAAAGCATATCCTCACGTTCACAGAATGACAGAGATACTGTCTTTTACATGTTGTGACGAGTGGGGGCGGGGCCGAGAGCCGTGGGAACGGAGCGAGGCCGGTGGAGTA